CCAGAACATCTCTTGTCACCGCACAATGGGGCTGAGACTACAGTCACTTGAACTATATGTTGGCATTTATTTGGGATCTATGGATTAGAACTCAGGCCTTCGCATTTGTAAGCACACACTTTTACCCATGAGCAATCTAATCCTAAAATTACTTATTTTTTTTAAGGACCATGTGCTCCAATTTTCTTTCCTTTCCTTTTCTTTTCTTTTTTTTTTTTTTTTTTTTTTTTTTTTTTTCTTTTCTTTTCGGCTTGAGGACAATCAATTTTTATCACTTTAAAAGAAAAACCTCTAGGACTAGGAAGTTAGAAAATTCAGCAGCTAACAGGAGGAGGAGAATTGGGAAGAACAGAAGAACTGTCATGCCACTTGAGCCAACACAGAGGTCAGACATGTGACAGACAAGCAGCCACGTGGTATAAAATAGGCTTCTTTATAGGAAGCTATGTGTAACTCTGCACCTGGGAAGGGGACAACTACTAACTACCTCCTCAAACGTCTGTTTTACTAAGTGCCCCTTATCCCCTTACCAGAAGCTATGACAAGGGACACAGCCGGCCAAGCACACAACTCAGTCAATGTCTTTCAAGGATTGTAAAACCTTGCTGGGGAAGTAAGACAATAAGTGTGTTCATGCAGATGTCTGAAATGTCTCATGGTTCATTGGGTTCTTGGGGCAAATCAAAACAAAGGGCAGTGTGGTCTCAGGCACTGGAGCAGGCATTGTGGGAAAAGGTGTAATGTAAGCCAGAGCCTGAAGGATCAGGGCAACAGGAAAGCCTCTCTAGCCATGCCCCTGACATGGTGGAGATGGGGGTGAACGAAGGCACACTTAGGGGCAACAGGGGGTGGGAACAGAGCCAGCTGGCATTTACCTAACTTTGTCCTTGCTCACCTAGGCCAGCTAAGGCTTACACTGCTCCAAGTACACACTCAAGGCTATAAAGTACCTTCTAAGACTCTTTAATAAGCAAAGGTGACTACTGGTAATTCTTTCCAGGCTACCTCGGGTCAGGGGCAATAATATCAATGCTACACAAGTCAGAACAGGAGTCTGGGATACCTAAGACAGCTGAGAGTACTCTGTGGTACATACCTGTAACTCATCCATAATCCCAGCACTTCCAACACTCAAAGGCCTTACACTCCTTTCTGCCAACTCATTTTCTGCTAACGCTTTCCACGAGCCGAAGAAGCCTGTCCCATACCATGTGAATAGCAAGTGGGATGTTAACATACTTATCAGAGGGGGTACCGGGAGTGCATGTACCACATCACCTTTCTTTTTTTCTTTTGAACTCACAGAGATTCACCTGCCTCTGCCTCCTGAGTGCTGGATTTAGAGGCCACCACATTATCTTTTTAAACTCTAAAATACGAGGGCCTCCAGCAAGGGCCTGTAGACCTATGCTTCTTAAGTACATCCTGGACTTAAGCCTTGTGAAAGAGAAACTCAAAGGGAAACTCCGTGAATAATGTTAGAGTTTTAAGCAAATGTCTGCTTGGGCCCAGAGGACAAAAATGCCCAGAAAACCAATAGTACCTCATCACACACTCCTGTTCCCAGGAAGACACCACCATGAGGGGCTGGAAGGGCTTGTCTACCGCTCCTCTGAACAAAGTGTCCCTCTACCATTTGGAATGTCACTTGCCCCTTGTCCCCATGAGAAAGGGTCATAGTGAGTTCTCCACTTCCCCTTGCAGGAAGGTCCCTATTATATAAATATTACTAGAAGAAAATAATGTCCATTCAAGGTTCTGTCAGTTCCGTTAAAAGAAAAACCACAAAAGGAAGCATGGAGCAGCCCCTAGCCTGTCGCTTCCATAAGAGGAAGTTTCTTCACCATAACATCACAGTAGAAACTGCAGTGTCCGCTAGAAAATGCGTTTTGTCAGTTAAAGCATCACAAAAATATCAGAAGCAGCAGAGGGAAAACTATTTCCTCTTAAAAAAAAAAAAAAAAAAAAAAAAAACTGCAAATGCTGTCATTTACACAGGAACCTGCAAGAAAGCCAGACCCTTAAACCAGGCCTTGCGTCTACCTGCCAGTGATTTACATTTGCTTCTACACACCTAGGAAGATCAAGGCTAGCACAGCTCATCAACCAAGACCCAGCCTTTGCTAGGTTACTGACAAAGCTGTCTGCACACCACAGACATGTGCTTTCTACCAAACTGACATCATGAAGCCAGAATCCTCCAGCACTGCTATCCACCTCAGGAGGAACTCATTCTATAAGGACTCTTTTCAAAAATAATTTACCAAAAAGTAACCTTGTCTTTTCTCACTGGCCCTGAGACCAGACTCCACTTCAAATTTGTTCCACATGGGGCCAAAGAAAATAATATGCCTATAAATATTTAGGAGATTTGTATAGACTTTAGTTAAAGTCTGGGGTTTTTTGTTTTGTTTTGTTTGGGGGTAGGCTAAAAAAGAGAAATAATTCAAGAGACTCTATTAAACTCTGAACATTAAAGGACCGGTTTCGAAACCATGTTATTAGGAGAGCCTCCTCCATCAGGGCACCCCTTCAGTAAATATTTACTGAGTACCTGTGTGCGTGGTGCTTGCTCAGCTGCTGGTGACACACAGAGAAACACACAGGTGAGCTCTTCCATCTGCCCTTATAGAACTTCTACCAGCAGCCAGAAGCATGTGCTTTGGAGACAAGTCTCAGAACCCAGTTCTAAGGTAACTCGAGAAGCAGTTAGCAAGGTACCTGCCACACAGCAGGTCCTATTAAATGATGCACACTTGACATCAGCCTGTTTGTGCTGCTTGTGTTCAGAGCCTTTATTTCAGTTGGATTACCTTGTCTGCTTGCTTATTAACTAACCCCTGCCAAATGTTAAACATTAACCAGTTGGCAAAATTTACTAGACAGAAGAAAGCCCCTAGACGAAGGGCTCTAGCGAGGGAAAAAAGCAATGTAGTCTTTGCTCTGAAGCAGGGTCCCAGAGTGCTCAGTGAAAAGTCCCCAAGGGGAGTGTGACGATAGAGCTGGATGTGGGTGAGGAGACTGTCCTTTCTGTCCTTCCATTTCTGGTGACTGATGGCCTCCTGCTGAACCTCACAAAGGGATCTGGGATCTCTCAGCTGACAAAAGCACAACCTGCTGATTGGCCAGCGGAGCTGGAAGGTTTTATAAATGACCTCCACTCCAGTTTTACACTCAGAGGCAGAGTACATGAGTCAAATAATCCTGATGCTCCCTGAAGTGTGTGTGTGTGTGTGTGTGTGTGTGTGTGTGCGCGCGCGCGCGTGTGTGCGTGCGTGCGTGTGTGTGCGCGCGCGCGCGCGTGTGTGTGTGTGTGTGTGTGTGTGTATGTGCGCGCGCGTGCGTGCGCGCGCGTGCGTGCGTGCGTGTGTGTGGGGGCGCGCACGTGCACAGGGTAGTGATGAGCGCTTAAGTGCCCTTTACTCTAGCCCCATGATTAAAATCTAAGCCATGATTAAAATCTGGGCAATCATTTGCCAGGGCCCAACTCTGATGTACTCCTATAATTGGAGAAATACAGGTATGCATTTAGCCCCCACCCACAACTCAGCAACAGAATTCAGCACAGGCTCTGGGTGTTAGCCATGAATAACTAAGTCCTTTGGATACAGCAGGTTGCATCTTAATCTTTGTGAGTCCTTTAACATAAACAGAAAGCTGTGTGTTTAGATACTTCCTGATGGTGAATGAAACAAGACTGGGTACAATCAAGAATCAAAGAACAATTTCACAATATCCTTTACAACAGTAAGTGGCTCATTTAGAAGCTATTTCCTCATTCTTCTGTAGAGGTTAACAGGTAAAAGGGTGCCTTAGAGTTAGGGCTACTCCTGCTGTGATAGAGCACCGTGACCAAGGCAACTCATAAAAAGGACACATTTGTTTGGAGGCTTGCTTAGTGTTTCAGAGATTAGTCCATGATCATCACAGCAGGAAGCAGACAGTCATGGCACTAAGCGGTAGCTGAGAGCTTTACATCTGATCCACAGGAGTAGGCAGAGAGACACTGGGCCTGGTGTGGGCTTTTGAAACCTCAAAACCAACCCCAGTAACACATCTCCTCCAACAAAGCCACACCTCCTAATTCTTCTCAAACAGTTATCAACAGGGGCCTAAATAGTCAGCTATATGAGCCCATGAGGGTCACTACAAAGGGAAAGGACACCTCTCTACAGCTAAAGAAACACATTCCTCACACCTACCAAAAATACAACTTGAGAAAGTGGGATCGTAGCTGAAATCCTGGGAAAATAGTTTCATCTTTGCTAACTTGACTTTCTTTTCCTAAAACTCCCCATTGTAATATTTCAAGCGAGTCATCTCTGACTCATGCTAAGGAATGTTGACAGGCACGAAAGCCATGAGCTGCAGTGTTCACTCCTCTAAAGGAGGGGAGTGATGATTAAATGGGATGTTATTCCCAGCATCTAGGCTCTTCTAGTTCTCTCTTGATGCATCACCAGTGACTCAGTTTGCATCAGACATCCAACAACTGAACAAAAACAATTCAGATCCAAATGATGATGGCTCACAGGTGACACGTGGCTCAAACACCATTCACATCCCTCTAAGTAAACAAAGAGTTAACCTGTTTTTAATAGCCCCTGGGAAGGCTTTCATGCCCATCTGTTCCTCCTAACACATGGCTAGACTACCTATGTCCATCGTTGTTAGCTTGAGCCACTTGGCTAAGTTCTGGCCAATAGAATGTGGTTAGATGAGGCACATCACTCTCAGGCCTCGTCTCTGAAATCTGTAATGAGATCCTCTACACAGTCTCTCTCCCCTCACCTGTCAGTCACATAGGGGACGCTAGAGAAGACTCCAAGGCCCCAAAAGATGATGGAACCACTGACTGACCAACCACAAGGAGTAAAATGCAAGTAGCGAAACAGAGTGCACTTTGTGAGTGCAGCTAGTATTTACCGTGCTGCAAACCCAGCTTCCTTGGCCATGACCATGCCCTAGGGAATCAGTTAATCTGTGGCTTCTACACCTACCTGTGTCATTGCCGATGCAATCGATGATCAAGCAGATCCCTAGGGGCTTGCTCTGCATCCTGTAACTCTCTTCATATATGTGCTAGAAGAAAGGCAGGCATCATTAGAGATACTGGGTAATTCTCTGTTCCCTTAAGGTCTTGCCCCTGTGTCATTTCTTCTTTTGGACTGTCTTAAACATTCCTTTGGCAGGTGAGTCACTCAACAGACGTGGTCTAAAGTCATCACAGCTGACATTTTCCATTAATGTCAAATTTTTTCCTCCGTTCTGATAATGTACTGTTTCAGTTCTCACTTAATTTTAATGAGAATTGTCATCTCTTTACATGTGTCTTAGCTTTGCAGAATAAAGATAATTTGAAAGAGAAGAAAGATGGGTCATGTACCTTCACAGAAGCCTAAAGTAGCAACAAGAGACATCTTCCTAAGCCAGAACAAACAATGGCCTTCCACTGCCTCCTCCGCAGAGGAGGTTGTCAACCCAGACAAAAGCCAGGGCACAGCACAATTCAGTACAGCGTCACCGGCCACTTGTGTGTTCAGTAGTTACCCAGCCAAGACATGGGCTGCCACTTGGAATTTCCCTGCATTCCATGGTTCATTCATGCCATCCATTTGTTTTCTCTGCTATATTCAAGTTCCTGACCAATGAATTCTCAAGGGAATTATACACAGGCACCCAGTTGTCACAAATAACTTTTCCCAATGGTTTTGGCTATTTTGTTTGTTTGTTTGGTTTTTTTTAGGATGTCAGTGTTCAAGAAGATACATGTGTATACAATATCAAATCAGAGAATTTGTTCTTTACCGGAGGCAGAAAAGCTCCTGATTCCTGGATGGATGTCTTCACTGGTTTTCCTGAGGGTTAAGAGAGAGAAATTCGTTATGGAGCAGATCTTAACCACGCCCATGCTGGCTGAGTTCTTTCTATCATGGCTGTTTTCTTTGCTCATCCCTTAACTACCTATGCTTTCTCTAGCTAGAGATTCAGCCCAAAGTTCCAACCTCACGTGGAAGAGCCTGACTCAAAAGAAAACTCAAGAACCCCTGTCATCCCAGGACTATGTAGAAAAACCATTACACACAAGTGCAAGATGGCTCTCCTTTACCCTCCTCTGGATGACTACCCGGTGGCTGGTGGGTTTTTAACCTGATAAGGAGAATTCAAAAAAATCTCACTTCACTATACTGATAGCTTTCCTCCATGGACCAAAACTATGGATAACATCTAAAGGGAACAGCTTGGAGCGTGCAGGAAAGGGAAGCTTATGTATGTGTGCCATGTACAGAACAGATGGCCAATGTTTTCATAGCTCAGTGATGCTGGGAGATGATAAACTCAAATGTCAGCAGCAAGACACTGCACAGCAAGCCTGGAAAGTGGTGAGCCCACAGAAAACTCTTCTCCTCAACAATGACTCAATTAGCCTCCACAAGGGGGGGACCAACTGGCTCCTGAAACCACGGAAGGGCTGGCTCACACCTTCATGCTGAGCAGTTGTCATCCTGTCTCCTCATTCAAGCTCTAGGCCAAGACTGCAGCAAAGTGAGAAATGATGTCTAAAGATAGGACCAAAAAAAAAAAAAAAAAAAAAACAAAAACAAAACAAACAAAAAAAACCTAGTTAAAAAAAAAACAAAAACAAAAAACAACCCAACAACAACCTTACCAGAATCTGCAAGATTTAGGGGAAATGAGTTGGGCTCTTGTTTGTTTGTGCTCTGCCACTGTTTAGTTTTAGTTTGTTTTGTTTAGAGGCAGGCTCTTGATACGCAGCCCAGGCTGAGCCTGCCCCAAACTTTTGCTTCTCTTGCTTCAGCTCATGAGTGCTGGTATTACAGTCCTGGGCTGCCACACTCGGCTTCAAACTGCAGCTATCCCTGTTACTGAGATTAGAAGGGGATTTTGTTTGGTTTTCTTCTGTTATAACAATCGTTGATTAACAGAAAAGAAGCCCCATTAGTGAGGTTCCAGACAGTACTCTGGTTCCTGCCCAGCTGCTGTCCCCTTAGGACAGCTGCTGTCCCCTTGTTCTAAGCAACAAGCCTTCCTTAGAAAATATGTGTGTGGCTCACACCTTTAATCTCAGCACTCCGGATGCAGAGCTAGGTGGATCTCTGTGAGTTCGAGTCCAGCCTGGTCTCCAGAGCAAGTTCTGAGACAGGCTCCAAAGCTACAGGGAAACCCTGTCTCAAAAAACAAAACAAAACAAACCAAAACAAAAAAGTGTATAACACACCTATCTATCTCAGTGACATGCCTATCTTGGTTGAAGATTTAGAAAGAGCTAAGTGGTATTCACCAGCACCATCTAGATCTTTCAGTTTGGAAGTCCAAACTGATGCAAACACATGGCTTGATTATCTTAAACTTCTTAGTTTAAGGCCAGTCTACCTGAATGCTTTTCCTTTGATTAGTGAGTCAAGGTCAGGCCAAGACAGAAAGGCTAACAGTGTGCCCAGGTGTTGGGAGCCTCACCTACTTACCTGGACCAATCTATGATAGGGTCGCAGTGGAAAGAAAACATTTTTTTTTTTTTTACATTCCCAAGCAAGCATGTCGGGTCTCCTGTTTTTCATTTTAAACAGCATTGAGACTGCTAACTCTCCCACCCCACCAGTGCTTTAAGAAACAGGCTGTCACTTTGGGAATTAATTCCGTTCTCAACAGTTTTCATTGGAGAGACAAATGTTAGCTAGGGAGCGGCAGGCGTGAGTGGCACCATCTGGCTAGTGTGTGTGTGTGGGGGGGGATGGTTCTCAGCTTCGAGGAGCACACGCTGCCTGCAGGGTACACAAGCTACAGACAAGGCTCCATCGGGGCACAGCCCCACACATGTTAGTGCTCCTCTACTGCATACACAACAGATTCAAAGGTCCTTGGGTAGCACTGCAGTCCTCCATCATGGAATAGAGGCCTATTCATGCTGACTCTAAGCACGGGCTACCTCACCAGCACAAGGCTGAGTCTTTAGAAAGGCCTCCATGCAGCAAAGAAATGTTTTTTTTTGTTTTTTGTTTTTTTTTTTTAAAAAAATGATGCTATAAGGCAACCGTGGTAACACAGTCCTGCAATCCCAGCACTCGGAAGACTAAAATGGGAGCATTGTGTGAGTTTGAGGTTAGTCTGGACTATATAATAAATACCAGTCCAGCCAGGGATACAGGGCAAGGTTCTGTCTGCAGTTATCCCAAACAAACAAACAAATAAATAAGAATTTACATAATGCCGTAAGCTCAAGTGCAGACGTTTTAAGATAAAAGAGAACACATGGGTTGAAATGGACGATCTTTTAATTGTGTTTCTTTTCTTTTTACGGAAGAGACTGTCTGCCCTTGAGTGTCATTCTTCTTCCTGAAGCTAGAAATTTGGCTCACTATATTAGACCTGTTTAAATAGCTCAGTGTTTTTACACATGTGGCTCACTATCATGGCTGAATAATGTTTAACGTGGTCTGGTTATAGCTCCATTTCAGATGTCACATGTCTTGCAAATACAGCCAAGATGAGCTAAGTCAGAGAGGAACTACAATTCTCAGTGAATACATTTGAGGAATGTGTTTACTGCCCTTTGAGGGCTTAATTAAAATATGTGGATAAAAGAACTAGCCATCTCTAAAATGGAACTTTTTCTCTTTTTCTTTCCTTTCTTTTCCTCTTTTTTAGATGTCAGGGTCTCACTACGTTGCAAAGTATGCTGGTCTTGAACACATGGGCACAAGAGATACTCCTACTCCCGCCTCTCAAGCAGTTAAGTCAATAAGCAGGAACCACCGGGCACAACAGTGTGAATGTTTTTCCTGGTACTGGAGAGCAAACCCAGGGTCTCTTTCACACTAGTCAAGTGTTCTACCACTGACCCACACTTCAGCCCCTCATTTTTAAATTATTAAGCATTTATAAAGACTAGATATAAGAGATTGATGATGGCCTTACTTTGAATGCCAAGGTGTTCCACAAATCTGTGTTCTTTACTTCGCCCATTCTGGAACTTCAAATATAAAAAAGAAGGTCACACTGTTAGTTTTTTTTTTTTTTTTTTTTTTTTTTTTTTCAGAAGCTCACTATGTTACACCTCTTTAAATAGCTCAATATTTTTACACAGGAGGGAAAAATAAAAATATCACCTTCGCGGTTACCTAAAAATGAGCTGTGGGGACTGTTAACTCCATAAGTTCCACACTATACTGTTGAAGATCAAATCAACTCTCAGTAAGAAATGAAAACATGCTGGGCAGTGGTGGCGCACACCTTTGATCCCAGCACTCGGGAGGCAGAGCCAGGTGCATCTCTGTGAGTTTGAGGCCAGCCTGGTCCACAGAGAGAGTTCCAGGACAGGCTTCAAAAAGCTACAGAGAAACCCTGTCTCAACAACAACAACAACAACAACAAAAAGCAATGAAAGTATTATGAAGGTGAACCTAATAAACCTTGCATGCTAGGCTGCTTCGGAGAGCTCTAAGCCTGCTGTTAGAGTACAGCATGGGAGCTGGAACAGTCCCAACTTAGACCATGCTGAGACCAAGACTGACACTCAGCCTTTAACACAAAGGCACGCGCAGCATGGCTGCAAGTGTGAGGTTTAGCCATAAACTTCTGGCTGTGAATCCTGACTCCGCCAGTTCATACTTATGTAGCCTTGAGCAGCCATTTTACCTCACTATCTGCTTCTTCGTCTGCAACAGTGCAGATAAGAATAGAATAGTATCTGCCATATGTATGGTAGGGAGGTTTTTGGGTTTCTTTTTACTGTGTGCGTTTTGCATACATGTATGTGTCTGGTGCCATGTAGAGCAGAAGAGGGCATCAAATCATCCAGGACTGGAGTTACAGACAGTTGTGAGCCACCATGTGGGTGCCAAGAATGGAACCTGTGCTCTTAAATGCTAAGCCACCTCACTAGCCTTAGCCCAAAAGGGTATTTGTGGTGTTCCAATACTCACAAACACCAAGCCCAGTATAACATGCACAGAAGCACTTGATAAAAGCCTACACCCAAAGTCCTGGGTACAATCTGCAGCACTCCTAAATAAATAAATAAATAAATAAATAAATAAATAAATAAATAAATAGATGAGGTCCGTTTATGGCTTTTTAGAGATTTATTTGTTTTATGTATGTGGTGCTCTATCTACATATAGAGCTTACATGCCAGAAGACTACATCAGATCTCATTATAGATGGCTGTGAGCCAACCTAAGGTTGCTGGGAATTGAACTCAGAACCTCTGGAAGAGCTGCCAAGACTGAGCCATCTATCCAGCCCCCAATTATGGCTTTTTAAAAAAAATTATTTCTAAGCTACAAGATAAGTGATATGTGGGCATGATTCTTGACTATCTAGAACTCTGCATGAATCACCCCTGAAACACTAAACTGACCTCTCAGATGTCAGGACCTGTGTAAGATGACATCACTTCCTGACACCCTCTGATCACTCATATTTCAACAATAGCTGATCTCTGTAGCTATCCTAACCAAAGAAAGAAGTACATTATCCATTAAGCTTCATCTAAGAGACGGCTGTGTGTAAACTGAAGAAAGATATGCAATCTATGGTTTCCCCCAAGGAATAATATTGACTTGGTCAGAGCCTGGTCAGTGCCATCCCCTGAAATCAGATGCACACTCACCTTCACATGTTATTGAAAATGATCAAAATCAAAGCCAGACTTTAAAAGCATGACAGTGCAGTCATGTAATTGTTTGGTTTTTTAATACCTCAGATTCTTGTGCCAGGTAATACCATTGTAACTTCCAAAGCACTGTTGTAGCCTTCTATGAGATAAAACATAGCCATGTAGCCAGGCAGTGGTGGCACACGCCTTTGATCCCCACTCAGGAGGCAGAGGCAAGCGGATCTCTTTGAGTTTGAGGCCAACCTGGTATACAAAGTGAATTCCAGGACAGGCTCCAAGGCAATACAGAGAAACACTGTCTCGAAAAAAACCAACCAAACAAAAAAGCATAGCCATGCAGTTACTATATCTTGTGAGAAAACTTCCAGGTTCATATACTGTAGCGCCTGCTTACTAAATGGGAGCTCAAGCCACATGCTAGCTAGTGAGAAAGGAAGCACAAAGCATGTTGGAGCCAAGCAGGCTACATGGAGAGTGAAGATGTGTAGCTGCATTTGCAGAACAGAAACACAGTAGTGAAAATACAGAAGGGTTTGAACTAAGACAGCGTATGTTATAATAAACAGGTAGTGGGAGAAAGAGCTCAGAAAATCCTAAAGCTGGGTTGTCTGTGACTTAGTATATCAGAGACTAGAAGGACAAATTAAAAATTGTTCCTAAGGCCAGGCAGTGGTGGTGCACGCCTTTAATCCCAGCACTTGGGAGGCAGAAGCAGGTGGATCTCTGTGAGTTCGAGGCCAGCCTGGTCTACAGAGCTAGTTCCAGGACAGCCAGGGATACACAGAGAAACCCTGTCTCAAAAAAAACAAAACAAACAAACAAAAACTGTACCTAAGCAATGAGACGACTGCAGTTTATGGATATGTCAGGAGGGATAAGCAAAGGCCGGGCCTGGTGGGGACTGCAGGAGGTACATGTACATAGTCACTGTGCTTTACACATATGTGTTCAGTCAGTGGGTGGAGCAATGTTGCTCAGTAGTACCTCCTATTGCTAGTATTCTCCAAGAAACTGCTTATAAAATAGGAGAAATGTTTTCATGATACGCATTGATAGAAGTGTTAATAATTCAACCACAAAACTGGGCTCTAGTCTGTGTCCATCTCAGTCTGCATAACTTTAAGTGGGGTTAGGTTGATATTATACCAAGGTTTTTCTCATGATAGAGATTAACCAGGGAACAAGCCCAAGATGATCTGTGCTTCTTAAACAACCATAAACAACCATGTGATATTTATGACCATTAACTAGAAAAAGAAATCTTTTGCTCCATCACTAATTTTAAAAAAAAGTTTGCCAATTTGTAAATTATTAAGACACACTCAGTAAAAAGGTAACAGGAAGACTGGAGAGATAGCTTAGAGGTTAAGAGTGCTGACTGCTCTTTCAGAGGTCCTGGGTTCAAGTCCCAGTATCTACATAGTGGCTCACTAGTGCCTGTAACTCCAGTTCTAGGGGTCTGATGTCCAATTCTGACCTTGATGGGCTCCTGAACACATATGGTGTACAAAAACTCATACAGGTATACATGCATACACATAAACAAAAAAATAAAACGTAAAATATTTTTACATTATTTTTTAAAAAAGGAAATGCACAAAGAAGTAAGAATCAGGATATTTATTTTGCAGCATTGTTTCTAGTAACAAAAGAACAGAAGCAATCTATGTACATCAGCAAGAAAGAACTAAATACATTTTGGTGTATGTAGAAAATGGAAGCCACGAGCACTCCTGGTGGGACATGCCTATAACAGGCATTTAGGAGGCTGAAGCAAGAGGAGGGTCATTCATTGCAAGTTCAAGGCCAGCCTGGGTTACATATTGGATTCCAGGCCAGGCTGGGCTACAGGGTGAGATCTCATAAGAACCTTATAGCACAATGTCTAAGAATTCTCTATTCAGAAGAGTGGTGTGGTCATGCTACCCCTTGTACACTGCATGTGTGTAGACTATTTCTGCATGGTCAACAACTGGTCAAGAATAGTTGCCTTAACACAAAGGAACTGGGACATGAGTATTATGAGGTAGGAAGAAAACACAATTTTAAAATCTCTTTGGGGACACTTAAGTTTTTCTTTCTAATGGTACATCCTATCTACTTTTATTTTAAAAGTGAATCTTCAAACAAATAAACAATGAAAAAATATCCCATTATAGAAATAGACACATTTACTAATGCACATAGGGATGAGACTAAAAGAAAGTATCCCCAAATATTAATAGTAGTCATACCTAGGTAACAGACACACCACACATATTTTTTTTAGTCTCCAAATATATTATTGAACACTTTCTTTTTTGGGGGGGGGTTGTTGAGACAGGGTTTCTCTATCTAGCTCTGAATGTCCTCGAACTCACAGAGATCCTACCTCAGCCTCACAAGTGCTGGGGATAAAGGGACGTGCCACCACCGCCCACCAGCTGATCACTTTTAAGGTTTATAATCATAAGAAGGTATACACATTCTTAATCAGATACATGTCTACATAATTTGTTCAGCTCTTACAACACATGAAATGAGATGCACACTTTTATTACATCTCTGAAACCAGTTCATGCTGGCACTCAGCACACTGGCTCCAGACTCACCCTTGAACTATATGAAGGCTCTCTGATACTCAAGTTTGGGAGAGAAGCCTGGAGAGAGTTCATATAATTTGATGCTGCTCCTTGGCCTGTAAAGACAAAGAGAGAGGCTAAGGTCCATAAATTGTCAAGTGAGTCTTCAACAATGCTTCAGTCCCAGGCCATGGTCATCTTTCAAAACACCTTAGACCTGAACCATCTGAGTTCAGAACATCAGCTCAGATGACTTCTGCCCAGCAGCAAGAATGACTAATGGGGCAGCTGAGCTGACTCAGTGGGTAAAAGCACTCACCACCAAGCCTGACAAATTAATTTCAATCCCTGGGATTGGGTGGAAGGGAAGAAAAGACCACCACATGGCATATGGGTGTGTATGCATGTGTGCACATAGGTGCACACACTAAATAATTAAATAAATAAATAAAAATAAGCATACTTGTAAATTAAAAAGAAAATTAAGGGCCATTCCTATTTCTGATTGTCATTCAGAATGAGGACACACTGACCTATAGATAAGCAAGTCTCTGTCATGACCTTTATCCTGTGACCCTATGGTGATGGTGTAAGGGACAAGACCAACACCCTTTATTAAAGAAAAAAACAAAAGTGCCCTTTTCCATGAGGTTAAGCGAGACACAGCACACATGTAGAACAGCAATCAGGCCCAGAGACACCGCCCATAGTTGGATGGTGGTCATCAGGTCCAACATGGTGCGAGGTAACAGGGTTCAACCTACAACCCAAGTCGTGAAAGTTCACAGTCTCTCTACCCTTTAAAATCAGAGATGCAGACCTCTTTAAAGGCCAGAATGTTAAGATCTGCTTGGTGGCAACTTTCAGAGGGAGGAGATTTGCCAGTGGGGTTGGGACATTGGGATATGAAGGCTATAAAGGAATACGATTTCTTGAGACAGGCTGGAGGGGCCTGGGTTCTATTTCCACCATGGATAGACAAATGATGCCACCAACCATTCCTACTGCGCACTAAGACCACTGAGAGGCCAAATTTCTTACCAGACTGCATGTACTTCTGAATTTTTGTCTTCAAGTCTATTCTGTGGATATTCTTCAGGCATTTTTCTAATAAACTCAATTGATCTGAAGCAATCAGATTCAGTTTCTCCAGTTCAATCACCAGATCCAAGAAACTCTAAGAGCGCCACCAACAAGAAACACATGTGAGTAAAGGGCTCACAAGTCCCAGTGCAGACTCTAGACCATCTGGTCATAACAGCAGGAAAAGGTGACAAGATGAGACCTTCTGGTAACCCTTGGAGATCCCAATCCAGGCAGTTCTGCCCAGAACAAATCATCCTCCTGAATTTCACTCAAAGAGATGGGGGGCTAGGGCTGTAGCTCAGGTGGTAGAGTCCTTGCCTAGCATGCACGAGTATTCCCTGGACTTGACCTCCAACACCACACACCATGAGGGCTTCCCAGAGTATGTGTGTGCTTGGGGGTATGTGGCTGAGTAAAGGATTGATATGGGAAATCTTCATAATGTTGTTTGAAAGTTCTTAACATTCCAGATCATTCTGTCTCAAGAGATGGCTACCAGAAAGGGTGGGGCTCTCCTATTCATTCAACCTGAAACACCAGGGTCATTAAAGAACTAGATTTCTCTTGCTTCCAGTGTTACAGAGAAACCATCTGAGATGCCTAGCTCCTGGGACCACGGCAGAAGGCTGTCCACTTCCCTCTCTCCACAAGGAGCAGGCCCTACTTCTGACAGCTCTTTGGAATGGGCACCAAGAAAAGACAACTCACCTTGTCCTTGGTTACCTTGCCTCGGCCTGTGTAATCTCTTGTAAGGAAAACTAACGAGGAAACATCAGATTTATCCAAATTCTCACCAATCTCCATCATCAGCACCCTGTAAATCCCAAAAGTTTCTTTAGTAAACCCAGACAAGAATCCAAGAATCCAAGAACCCAAGCCTCACCAAGGCCAACAACTAGACTAATTCTTGTCCCATGGGATGTGTCCCTACTCTATAAAACAGGAAGCCTTGATATTCCCCCCAAGCCCTGACTATCTTAGCACTTACTGTGTAGACAGACTAGCCTCCAACCACTCCCGCCCATCCTCCTGCCTCTGCCTCCCAGGTGCTGGAATTATACATACATACCACACCTGGCCTTTCCTTTGCAGTAGAACACAGCACTTCCCTTTCTAACTAACAGCTCTGAAAACAACTGAGCAAGCAGACTTTTCTGAAAAAGCCCCTGGGTCCCCAGAAGTAATAGTGAAATGAAACAAATGAGTAACAGGAAAGACAGAGTTCGGAGTGGCCTTGTCCTCTCTGACAAGCTCCCAGTAACACTGGTCAAGAACCGAACTTTGACTCTCAGGAGTCTGAAGCAAAGAAACACTTCCAACCTCTTGGCCCGTGTTTGAATTTGAAAAGTAAAAGACATCCACCCTGGGGCTCCTGACCACAAATGTTAAGTCTGGAAAGCGCCTCCTGCCTTGCTGGCCTTAGCTCTGGCTGGAGCAGCTACCACACTTTGCCAGGACTCCAGTGAGGAGCCTTTCCCAGGTAGACTTCCACATGCTTAGGGATTCCTTTTGCCCTAAGTTTAGCTAGGCACTGGTGAAGCCTGCTGAGCAGATGGATGAATGGATCAACCACATCACCTCAACTGCCAGCCTCTTCTACAGGGCTTTACACCCCATTCCTACTCACTGCACCTGAACCTAGTCCCCAAGACTGGATCCCCCAAATGTGAGATCACTGACATCAGGTGATGGCTGAACAAGTGAAAATTTATCAAGAATAACAGTAACCCCAAGCATCTCACATAGAAAGCCACTTGACACAGTATCCAAAGAGACTCGAACTTGTGAAGCTCAGTTATTGTCTACGGTGGGGGAACTGAACCTAGAACCTTACACACCCTAAGTGAGCGCCTACCACTGAGCTCTGGGTCTACACATGTCCCTTCTATCTTTTCTGACAGGGTTTTAATTAAGTTATTCAGGCTGGCCTTGAACTCACAATCTTCCTGCCTCAGTGTCCTGGGGAGCTGGGGTTGTAGGCCTCTGTCACCAGCTGGGCTATATTAGTCTTTATTTGTAAAGTTAGTTACTGGCTCAGCCTGAGTGGGCTGTAACTTGTATGTCTGAGGTTTAACACAGTCCTTCCAACCCCAACTCTCAACAGTTTCCAAAGCCCATGCTGCCTTCAGCTCTTTTCAGTAGTTTTCATAATAGACACCATCCCAAAATACATATTACACAACCGACAAAACTTGCAGCCTGGAGGAACAGGAAGCAATTTAGAGGAACAAGGAGGGGAGGGGGAGCAGCTCAGAGGCTCTGGGACTTAAGGGACTCCAATGGTCCTCCTGCTTTAACCAGAAGGGAGCTCAAAGGTAGTTCACTGAAGAAACAACAGACTTGGGCTCCTCAGAGCCAGCAAGGCAGGACTACAGGAAGGGAACCCACCCTGTTTGTTGTACTTCCTTGGCTGGCTGGGACAGAGGAAAATTTAGAAAGGGCTACTGTTCTATGGAGGTAGGAAGATTACTCACTCTTGCTACTTCCTTTCTTGGTACCAGAATTTTCCAAAGCACAGCAGCTCCTATGCCATCAGGGACTGGCTCTATGCTGTCTCTTCTTTCTTCCTTGTTAATCTGTCCTTCAGGCACGCACAGACTATCTGTCCATTCCGCTTCCTTTATGATCTTTACTCAGTAAGCAATCCGTGTTTTATGAGTTCAAACAAGCTGTGATCCCACACCCGAGGCAGGAGGATTGCTACGGGTTGGAGGCCCAGCTTGGGCGACACAGTAAGTTCCAAGCTAACCTGAGCTATAATGGGCTTCCAAACAAAAATACTAAACACACAGAATCCAGAGAGTTCCACGCCATAAGTGGTATCACAGGTTGTTTGAGCAGAAGAGAGTGGAAGGGATGAGGTTCTTCTCCCTGCCCTCACCGTCTAGACCACCAAGCTCCCTCCCTCCCCGACTCAGAGCTGGGGAGTTACCTATAGTCAGAAACAAGGTGAGGGTTTCTGCGAAGGTGAGCCTCCACGGCTGCTTTGTCTGTCTTCAATACCCTCTTGAGCAGGTCGAAGCGCCTCACTCTATAGAGCAGTTCAGCCAAGGTAGCAACAGAGAGCTGACCTCTCTCACTTAAGCTGTCCAGGAGCTCCCTCAGGTTGGGTGGGGCCAGGTTCTCTGACACATCTCTACATAAGAAAAGCATCATCTCCTTCTCATCCTCATCAAGCGACTCCTCCACCTGGTGGATGACCTCAGCAGACACAGGGTGCACAGCCATGTCCCAGAAGTTGACAGCCAGGCTCTCACCCAGCTTCCATCCACTTAGCAGGGCTCCGAGTACCATGAGATGTCTTCATTTCGGAGGGCTTTCTTCATTGCTTTCAGAGTTCTTGCAGTAGAGGTGCTCTGTGGTGAGAGAACACTTTTTATCCTCCTTATCGGGATCACCTAAGATTGAAAGCATAGGCTTTCCCTGTCTTGCTGGTGTCTGTGAGTAGCTTCACCCTTGTAAGCCAACAGAAAGAGATCCCCAGTAGACAGAGTCAAAGATTGAGCCAAAACCCAAAAGTCACAGAAGGAAACCCGGCTGTTCAAAAATGAATTCAACGACAAAATTACCTCCCAAAAAATCCCACATGGTCTAATCAGAATGTAAAGAGGCAAGGGGAAATCACAGTTGGGGAACCAATGACTAAGTTACCATGAGAGAACTCAGAGGAAGAAGAAAAGCCCAGTGAGTAAGCAGCTGATTTGAGAAATTTGTCACAGGAATTGCTACTCTCACCCACTCCTTAGCCCTACCCAATGCCCTGGGTTTTGGTGAAGGGGCGCCTCTGGCCTCCGTGCTGCGGCAGGGCGGCTCCGGTACTTTCCTCACTCCCCTTCCCAGTAGCTCTTCCATGGTTCCATCCCTCACTCACAGCTGGAGGCTTCGCTGCAGCCCCACCCTTCCACCCTGGCTGACTTCACCATGAATGACCACAGGGCCCTCCAGCGGGGCTGGGCAAAGAGCTTTTTTAAGTTTTGACCTTGTTGACCTTGAGCCCTAGCAATGTTCAAGGTCCCCCAACCAAAATTCTCAAAATTCTCAATGGCACCATCAGTGGAGGTGTATGAAAGAGCTGGGGGTGAGATCTGGTGAGATGCCCAGCTCAAGGCAGGGAGGGTCAGGTACTGTCAATTTCTTCATCAGAACTGAGCAGTTTTCAAATTTAGGCTATAAAGGATAGCCACTGTGCTTCTGGTTTTAACTTAAAAACACATTTATTTATGTATTTGTTTATTTATTTATTGTGTATACAGGGGAGGGATTTGTGGGCATTCCACACACACCTAAAGGTCAGAAGACAACTTTCAGGAGTCAGTTCTCTCCTATTATTCGGGTTCAGGGATCAAATTCAGGTCATCACACTTTGCAGCAAGCACCTTTACCCACTGAGTCACCTTGCTGGCCATTATACATGAGACCATGTCTCTGAGCAAAAACACATAACAGAAAAACCCTCTGATCTCAGTAAAAAATGGAAACATAATCCAACTCTTAGTTGATAATGGCTTCACATATTTTGTATTTAAGTATTTATCTAAGACTGGTGTGGCTATGCCAATCTCAACATCCATTTATCCAAACGACTTAAACAGGACGATTTATAACTAAAGGGATGGAATTTACTAAAATCATCACTCAACGCAGAAAAAGCAGTGCTCAGAATACTTTTTTTCTAAAGTTCCAGTGACTAACTATGAGCCCCAGATAGCAAAAGCCTGCATGCCACCCACGGGGGCGTGCCACCCACGGGGGCGTGTCACCCACGGGAGGTGCCACCCACGGGGGCAACACTTTAACCTAACTGCCAGTTTCTGCGACAAGAAGGCCAACTTCTTTTTCTCCTCTGTCACTAGAAGCTGTAATGTGCTTAGTCGATGCTATTATAAGGTAATCTCTAAAATATTTATGTGTACAACAAGAAATAAATGAGGGAAAATAAATAAGAGACCATTAAACATATGAGCAAGAAAAATCCAAATTCTCCAGACATACTTGGAAAAGAACTGAACAAATCCAGTCTGCAAAGGCAGCCATCTAGCTTGTGTGGTTCCTCACAAACGAAACAACATGTCCAGTGTCAAGGCAGAGCAGTAGCTGCTCGAGTCGCCTTCTCCCACTATCAGGCCCACGCAGTCACGAAAGCTCACAAGAGCACCACTGTGCTGCCCCCCCACCTCGCCCCCGTGCTGAGGGAGGACAGTTTGGCAGCCAAATCTCAATTACTCAGGGGGAACAGCTGGTAGGGTGAGAAAATATTGGAAGGAAAACACAAATTCCTGTGCAGAGCCAGGCCATGCTTGGAAGCTGGGGTGCGGCTCAGACAGTTTTTGTGGCTGCCAGTATTGAGCACTTGACAGAGAAAAGCACAGAAGAGGTTGAACTATAATCTAGATTTTACTAGGTTTTCTGTTTCACCAGGCCAAAAAAATTATCATTTGAAAAATCCCCAAGACTGGGTTAGTCAATAAGGGCTCCAGAAGCAAATGCAAAAGCCCCACAGAAGATTCCCTTCCTTCCCATGTAAGAGGGTTTCTTTTCTTACTTTCTGTCCTCCCTCCCGCCTTTCTCCCCTTTTCTTTCTTTGTAAACAGACCCTTGCTGTGCAGCACAGGCCAGCCTCTGGAGTGCTGATAGGCTCCATCAGCCTCCATCTCTAGCTCCATCATATTTGAGCTAGAGAAGAAAATATCTTCCATTGAAGGGAAACTCATGTATTGGTTAGCATAAAAAAAATTACAGTCATTGCCTGCAGGAGGTGGCTCCCTGGTAAAGAGCACTTGAAACTTTCACAGAAACTTGGGGGGTTTGCCTCCCAACTTACAGCCTTGCATAACTCCTGCTCCCAAGGAATCTAGCACCCTCTTCTGGCTTCCGTGGGCACTGCATGCATGTGGTGCACATACACAACACTCATACACATAAAATAAAACCAAATAAACCTTTCAAAAATTAAAATCACCACAACAATAGACAAAACAAACAGACTTCAAATCCTCAGGGCCAGCATCTCAAAGTTCACACGTGAATGTGCTCAGGTGAGTTTAAGAAGAAACGGGGCCTGTATACGTTCCACAGGCCAGGTCAATAACTCTTATGCACAGAGAGTTTGTTCCCCAAGGGCCATTTAATGATCTCTGCTTTTGGTCATCATCCCCCAGTGATAGCACTTGGATCTGGTGGACAGAGGCTAGGACTGCTGTTAAATATCCCGAAATCTCTCATCTCCCTGAACTCAAGAACGATCAACCTCCCATGTCCATGGCACTGAGTCCAGGAAATCTCCTCAAGTTTCAAGTCTGCCTTTCTGTGCCTTATTAATGTCTTCTACCTCAACTGCTCCATGGCCAGAGACTGTGATGTGAGGTGCACTGCCCTCCTCCCCTGAGGCTTTGCATTCAGTGTGATCCCAGTGCCAGGGGACAGAAGGACACAGAGACAGGGGGATTCCTGGGCTCACTGGCCAGCTGGACTTGCCCACCATGAGAGATCATCCATGTCTCAAATAAAACAAGGTGCTGATTAATCTGAAAAAACAAAACATACATATGTAGAACGGAGCACAGAAATGCCTGCTCAGGTACACAGCTGATGTAAGAAACTTAAAAAAAAAAAAAAAATTACAGAAGGCCAAAAAGAAAGCAGTTTAAAAACTAATCATTCAAAGTTTACCATATATTATCACATCACACGGACAACATGTAGGAACCAAAGAGAAGCTATGCAAGACCTTGAAGGAACAAAACATGAATTATTAAAATGACATCACTAAAGATCCAGATAAGTGGAGAGCCATACTTTATTCATGAGTAGGAAGATTCAGTCTAATAAAAATATTAGCTCCTGGGGCCTGAGAGATGGCTCAGAGGTTCAGAGTACTGACTGCCCTTCCAGAGGACCTGGGTTCTATTTCTGGAACCCACATGGTGGCTTGCAATCAACTGTCACTCCAGTTCCAAGGGACCTGAAGGGTATGATCCCTCTTCTGGCCTCCACAGGCACCAGGCAGGCATGTGGTGCACAAACATACATGCAGGCAAACAAGCACACATATGAAAAAAGTAGCTCCCCCAAACATTAGTGAATAGGTTAAGAAAAAGAATTATCTTGCCAGGCAGCAATGTAGAAACATCCAAAGAGCAGTCATGAAGGAGGAAAAGCCCCAGCAAGTATTGTTCTTTCTGGTGAGGTGTTAAAAGGCAGTCAGTCCCTTAAAATCCAGGCTGGAGATGGAATATAAACACTATATTCAGCAGTTTACTGAAGAACAAAGCAGAGACAATAAAAAATAGATCATAACCAAACAATTAACTGTGATTATCCATGGACAAGATTTCCCATGTGGACAAATCCAAATATAATGACAAGCAAAATGCTAGATTAATGAGAGGTCAAAGTTTTGAAATCTACGACAAATAGAAGCAAGTTAGCTACAATTCCATAAACCAGAAACAACCAGGATGAATTCAAGTTTCAAAAAGACAGCATTTAGATAGCAGTAACACCTCATGTTTAGTAATAAGACATTTAAAAGAGAAATCATGAAACTTCACTAGAGTTAAGCAGATGGTTGAAGATTCATATTATGAGGTGTATGTGTGTGTGTGTGTGTGTATACAGGTGCATGTGCACATGTGTGAAGGCCAGTGACAACCTCAGGTGTCATTCCTCGAGCATCATCCACTTAGATATTTTGAGACATGGATGATCTCTCACGGTGGGCAAGTCCAGCTGGCCAGTGAGCCCAGGAATCCCCCTGTCTCTGTGTCCTTCTGTCCCCTGGCACTGGGATCACAAGTGTGCGGCGCCACTGAATGCAAAGCCTCAGGGGCAGAGGGCAGTGCACCTCACATCACAGTCTCTGGTCATGAAGCAGTTGAGACATTAATAAGGCACAGAAAGACTGAGGAAGTCTAGGACCTGAAACTTGAGTTTCTGTCTCTTCTGTACTAAGTCTTTACCAGATACGAGTACTATAGACAGGGCAGGGTTTACTGGTTCAAATGATAGAGAGGGTTTGGGGACAGCTGTAGGAGTTCTTGTTTTATTTCTTTTGAAATAAAACAAAGCCAGGCTGGCTTTGAACATACTATTTTCCCCAGTGCTGGGATTATAGGCTCATGCCACTACAACTGGGATTTTTGTTTTGTTGGTTTGTGGGTTTGGGGGATGGGTTTTTTTTTTTTTTTTTTTTTTTTTTTTTTTTTTGGAGATGTTGTTATGATTTTTTAAAGCAGGATCTCACTATCTAGCTTTGTCCTAGATCTCACTATATAGACCAGGATGGCCTTGAACTCACAGAGATCAGCCTGCCTCTGCTTCCCAACTGCTGGCATTGAAGGCATGCACCACTAGGCCC